AATAAAATGACGAGGCAAAATAGTAGTTCTACATATAGGCTAACCCGGAGGTACCGGACAACTGTAACGTGTCGGTCCCTCGTCACTGTTTAAGCCCATCCTTAAAAATTAAATCGTCACTCTCTCGCATCTCCGCACTCGTCACTGCCTCGATGTCCGCCAATGCGTCGACACTAATGACGTCATAGCCCCAGTGAAATTTCAGCGCTCTTGAGTAGGCCTACTTTACAGAACGTCGTTCATTGTGCCGCCTCCACTCTTTTGATATCCAACGATTACCCACCTTGCCTTCTATTATTTCTGTCAGCATCATCAGGACAATCTCGATCGCTTGCCACACACAAACAAAACATTGTTTGTTATTTAAATCACTGGAAATGTTCAAGTTTATTTCTAATATCATTCTAGATCTAGATTCTTGATCTATAGTCTAGAACCTAGTCCCCGCTTTTAACTTTTATTTCTTTATTTTTTAAAAAAGGGATGTACTTCCGTGGATCTCTTGTGCTATTGTTCGCCTCTGATCTTGTCGTATCGAGTTACAACAGATGAATAATTGAATGAGTGCGGCCGCGTCGAACGCTCTGTGCACGTCAATGGATGGGGGAAAAAACCTGGCGAGCTGGCATTGACGTCACGCGGATGACCTAGATGAGGCCGTGGATTCCAAAACATGACCCAGTAGCCCGGGAATCAGATCGAGGCTCTACGTACATGCTTAACGAGAGAGGGTGTAAACAAGATGGCGACCAACAGGTCTGGTGGCAAGGCCCAAGCAGGGATAGGGCCTGTAAGAGTGGGATATTACGAGATGGAACGGACCATAGGGAAAGGAAATTTTGCCGTTGTAAAGTTGGCAACTCATATTGCCACCAAGACAAAGGTAAGGCAGGCCGTTGGATAGTTGTGGATGTTAGTCCGAGATGATCCTCTCACAGTGGTCTTACATTGTTCTGTTACTAAGAGTTACTTCACACTGTCACTGTTCACTGACTACAACTACAGAACCGAATTGTGGCTAGAGTCTAGATCTAGAGGAGTGGGGCAAGATTACTCATGTTGCTTGTTACTTTTAGGGATTACTCTAGATCTGCCGATCTGCCAGAGACTTCTCAAAGAGAGAAGGCGGGTTCTCTGTTTTCATGATCAGCAGGCTTTGATCTTTCAGATGTGCCGTCTTCGAATGTTATGTTACACTAAAAAATCAGTGCGGTCAAAAACTCAGTGGAGAACCTGGCCCCTACTTAGAATCTAGATCTAGATCTATGTTTTACTTGTAAAATGTAAAAAGTATTTTTTTAAAATCACCAAGTTAACTAAATATGAAGTAGATATCTAGATTAGATCTAGATCTAGATCTAGATCTAGATCTAGATCTAGATTCTAGTTCTAAATAATTCTCTCTGAAGGAATTCTCTGTTTCTACTTCTAGAGTCTAGAGCGAAGAAGTATGAAGAATGGGAAGGAGTTCGCAGAGGGGCGGCCGCCCAACAACACACACTCACACACAAAACAATGAAGGCGTACAACACGCTTTCTTCGTTTTGCGGTTCCACGTTTTAATTTTAATTTTTCATCTTGCTTAGAAAGTTTCTCTCTCATTTTAAAACTCTTTTATGAAAAGAAAGACAGAAGGAGAAGTTCATAGGATTTATTAATTTCTATTTGGTAGCGTCACTCGGTGGCAATTGACAAAAATTACAGTAGTGTCAATTGCCACTGAGTGAAGCGGTAGACAATAATTGACAGCAGCGTCAATTGCCACTGAGTGAAGCAGTGTCAAGTCTGAAAACACCACTATCTTTGTCTTTAGCTTTCTATTCATAATGCGTGTCAAATTTGTCAATTTGTTCTCTATTAATTTCATATCTCTAGTCTTAGATCTAGAGCGACGGTACCAACTTGGCGTTTTTTCAATGAGACGTAGGCCTAGATCTAGGCTAGCCTTTGCCTACACTTCGGTGTTGAACCAACACAGGCAATGCTAGAAGTAAAAGGTCCCACGCACATTTATAAACTAAGCAGAAATTCATTTTATATCGGGGAACAAAAATCCGGGGGACGGAGGTCAGGAAAAGACACACACACACAGAGCAACAGAGAGGCGAACGTACAACACCGAGCACTGGAGCACAATAGGCTAGATCTACTCACCAACGCAAAATAGCTCAGCTATCTACTCGGTGGCAATTGACGCTACTGTCAATTTTTGTCAATTGCCACCGAGTCACTCGGTGGCAATTGACACTACCTTTCTATTTAGGCCTATAATAGAATGTAATCTTTTAAAAGTTATTATAACACTAAAATTGTAGGCTATAGATACAGTCTAGATCTCGATCTAGTCTTCGTCATTGGTTAGAGTATATCAGAAGTCCCTAATTGAATCAGTGAATGATCCTGAGCCTTTTAATGCTATAATGAGGTGTCGTTTGTTATGGGATAATCCAATTTTATGGCTCCGACAATTACATTATCCATGCCCCTTAACACTTTGCCATCACATCTCGGCGATCGGCAAAAACACCGAACCTCAGCTCACGTCACTCAATGCCAATCGGCAATGTTTACCATCCAGTTTCTTTAGATTTCCCCCAAAATGCTTGTGATGCTGATGGCAAGAGTTTTTACTGTATGAGCCTTGTGATGACAAAGTGTGAATGAAAGTTAATGTCAGTACTAGATCGGTATTCTAGTACACTCATGGGGCCATAACCAGAGCCAGAGAATTACCTTAGCATTTAATTTATCAGCGATGACAGAGGCAAAGCTTTCAACCAAACTTTCCATTGAAAACATTTAATTTCTTGAAAGCTCCCTTCCCTTCCTCTGTCAGATATATGTCATTTGTATAATTTCACTTTATATTTGTTAAGTTGTCTCGGTCTGTTATGAGGAGTTCTGGTTTCTTGAGTTTTTTAGAATTTAATTTGTAAGAACAGTGAGTTTTCATGGAAAGCAGTTCCTTGGTAGTATGAATTTTGAAAAGTTGAGATTGACCATGATGGCATGGAATCGGAGAGAGAGGTAGCTTTACAATTTATACAGAGGCAGTTGAACATTTACGCGTCCACCCGTCCAAGACAATCACCTATACAAACAACCACTTCTAACTTCTTAACACCCCCCCCCCCCCATTCACCCACCATGTTTGTTTTTTTTATGTGGTAAAAACACTATTCAAGACATCCTCTTGTTTAAAAAGGCCACTGCGTCGACAAGACAATGAGTGGCCATCTAGGGACTTTGGAGAGGGAGAGAACTGTTCTGAACCTTCCTGACAACAGTATAAAAAACTTGGTCTCTAGTGTATCCCCAAGAAAAAGGATCAAGTGAAATTTTTTATTTTTATTTTAAAATGTTCTTAATATATTTAAAGGAAATTGTGGTTTTGAATTTCGATCATTTCATAATCAGGGTGTCGGTTATTGTTTCCAAGAACCGTTATATAATCTTTTATTCTGAAAATGATCTCGTATTCACCATCATGGTCAACTCAGCCAATATGTGAGGTTTGTAGAATCCCAGTAATTTTATTTTTTTAAAGTCTGATTGGGTCGGAAATTCTTACGGAGGTGTTCTTCGTTCACTTTGTTTTATTACTTTAATTAATTGATTTTTTATCGTCATTATACACTCACAGAAGGTTGTTGCTGTTTGAAACACTCTTTTGGTTGCATTTCTCCCACTAAGAACCATAAAACTCTATTTTCTCGATTTTGCTGTGTGTATATTTTTGTGTGTGCATGCTAAGTTCATGACATATGACTTGAAGATCTCTATGTCAGATTGCCTTATTCTCAAGACGCTCGTGGACTCTGATCTGTTCCTCCTGCTGTTGTCTCCCTTTGTGCAGATTGTTGTCAAAATACTTCAGCAATCTCTGGGTGTTCATTCTCTAAGTCTTTGGTTTCTTCTGAAAACTTGTGTGCAAAAATCTGACCAAACTCATACACATTATACTGTTACAGTACACTCGCACACCCTCGCAGGTATATGTGTGCTCATACACATGCACGTGCGTACACACACACACACACACGCACACACACACACACACACACACACACACACACACACACACACACACACACCTACATATGCTCACACACCTACACACACACACACACCCATACACACACACACACACAAACACACATGACATATAAAACACATGCACACAACACACATACACTCTCTCAATACTCACACTCACAAACACACAACTCCCAGAACCACACACGGTAATGTTAAAACTTAACAAACAATCAGCCAAAGAAATTATTCTTTGCTTAAATTGGGTAAGCCTTTCTTCAGAGTCAAATGGGGTACGATACAACATTATATGTACAGACAAACCTACTCTAAAAGGATGATCTCTTCAAAACAGTCACTCTTTATATGATAAACTGTGTGTGTGTGTGGGAGGGGGAGGGGGGGGGGAGAATAATTAATGGACCATGTGGGTGGGTTTCTGGTATTTGGTGTGGTTTGCTCTCCTCCTTTCCCATCAAACATCTAACATCCTTATCTCTTCTCCTTTTTTGTGTTTGTTCTGTTACTCTCTAGTAACACCTCTAATCTTTGGCACTTATCATGACCTAATTGTGTTGCAAGTGCTGTAAAACGCTGACAATTTAAAATTTAAGTAGACCGGTACGCTTTTATTACACAATGGTTTCTCTTCTGCTGTAGCGACTGATTTAGGTGTTGATAATATATGTCTGTGTGTTGCGTTTCAGGTTGCTCACATATTGATGTGTTGTGTGATGTGTTTTAGGTTACTGTCTGTGTTGATGTGTTTGTTGTATTTCAGGTTCCTCTTGTCAAGTGTTAATGTGCCTGTGTGTTGTGTTTTTGAGGTTACTCACGTGTTGATGTGTTTGTGTGTTGTGTTTTAGGTTACTGTCTGTATTGAAATGTTTGTTGTATTTCAGGTTCCTCTTGTATTAATGTGCCTGTGTGTTGTGTTTTTGAGGTTACTCGTGTGTTGTGTTTTAGGTTACTGTATTATGTTGATTTGTTTGCGTGTTGTGCTCTAAGGTTACTGGGTTACTCACACATGTGACGTTGATGTGTCTCTGTGTGCTGTGTTTCAGGTTACACACATGATGTTGACGTGTTTGTGTGTGTTTCAGGTTGCCATTAAGATTGTGGACAAAACTCAGCTAGATGAGGACAACCTAAAGAAAATTTACCGTGAGATTGAAATTATGAAGCTACTTCGCCACCCACACATCATTCGTTTATATCAGGTGAGGATTTGGTTTGTGTGTGTGTGTGGGGGGGGGGGGGGTTTAAGCAGCGCACATACCTGATATCTATTTCTGTGTGGCCTTATTTTGTGAGATACTAATCTACTCATTACAGAAAACTTTCCTGATGCGTTTGTCTTTTAAATGAATTTTTTTGTTTAAAAAATGCTAATTTTTGTACTGCTTCGCAACGAATTGAATTTGCCGTTGGTTGGCAGGTGCTCTGGTGTGGTTTGCTCCTTCTTTTGTATCAAACATCGTTATCTATCTTATCTCCTTTTTTGTGTTTGTTACTGTCTTCTAGTAACATAACACCTCTAATCTGTGGCACTTATATGATCTAATTGTGTTGCAAGTACCATAAAACTTTTTATTTATGCTGGTGCGAGCGTCGTAAAAACTCTTCTACTGAAACTAAACTAACTAAAACTCTTACTATGAAAACAAAATTTTGCTTTGCGCCCGGCTGTGAATAAAAAAATTACCTATGGCATTGCTGGTGACCTTGCTTTCCACAAAAGTTGCTGGCTCATAGTAGACGTGTTGAAACATGAGCATTTTTCTGCAGGTTTTTCACGCTGTAGATAGATCTTAGGGTCGATAAGACACACCCCCCCACCCCGGCATGGGGGAAAAAAAGAAAAGAGATTTCCTTCTTTTAGTCTTCTCATTATATTGCACACATGTGACTGCAATAGTGTTGTGATAATGCGCAGCAGGTGTCAGTCTTTCTTATCCCTGGCGTCGGTCGTCGTAGTGTCACATGACTGGGGTCAGGTTTGCCTCCTGTGTGGGACTGAATTTCAGTCCCCTGAGGAAGTAGGCCACAGTTCTTCTTGTTCTAACCACAGTCATGCAGGGTTTTGGATTTGATTTTACACTGCGGCTGGCTACCCTTCCTTGTGAATAGTGTGTTGTGTGTTTCTGTATGTGGTGTGTGTGTGTGCTTGTTTGTTTGTTTGTGTTTTTGTGTATATGTATGTGTGTGTGTGTGTGTGTATTTTGTTTGTGTGCGTGTGTATGTATTGTGTGTGTGTGTGTGTGTGTTCTGTTTGTCCCATAATTTGATATTTATGGCTGAATGGTGTGTATTGTGGCTTATTTTAGGAAGGCAGCATTTTGTATGATGAGGTTGAGAGAGAGAAGGAGGGCATAGGATGGTCAGAGAGAGAGGGGGAGAAGAAGGTGGGCAGGGGATTTATCAGCTGAGAGAGAAAAAGAGAGAGAGAGTGTGAAGAAGAAGGAGGGCAGGGGATTATCAGAGAGAGAGAGAGAAAAAGAGGCGTTGGGGATTATCAAGGATTATCAAAGAGAGAGAGAGAGAGAAGAAGGGGAGTTGGGGATTATCAAAGAGAGAGAGAGAGAAGAAGAAGAAGAAGGAGGGCAGGGGATTATCAGAGAGAGGGGGTGGGGGGGAAAGGAAGGAGGAAAAGGTAGTGTTCGCTATATTATGTCTGTTTAGCAGAGACACTAGTTTGTTTTTGTTTTGTTGTTTTTTCTCTGCCAATTCCTATCAACTAGTGCTTTTGTGTTCACCAGTTCCAACAAAAATTGCATCGTTTTAATTTAAATATTAGTGAAAACAAATAGGAGAAATGCTGTTTGCCCTCAGAGCTGTTTAATGGTCATGTTTCCCCACCCCCCTATGGAAATGTTTCTTCTGTCTTTTTTCCCCCCAGTTTTTATTTATCACACAATTCCTTGTCTTTATTCTTTGTATGATGTGTTATGTGTTGTTTATTAAGTTTTGTATTTCTATTTTATTTGGGACGTTTGTTGTGTTGTTGTAATGTGGGGTGGGTGCTCTGGTGTAATCTGCTCCTTTACTTCCTTTTACTGTATTAGCATTACTCGCGGTTGTCCTTGTTTGTCAAATGTTTGATGAAGTAGTTGGGGGGGTGCTCTTGTGTGGCTCGCTCATTCTTTCCTCTCCTATCAATCATCTATTGTCCTTATAAAAGTATCTCGTCCTTGTTTTTTTTATGTTGCTCCCTTGTAACACTTCTAATCTTTGGCGCTCATATTACCTATTTGTGTTGTAAGTGCTGTAACACTCATACTAAAACTAAGACTGAATGAGAATTTCTAGTACACCTCTAATCTTTGGCATTTATATGACCTATTTTTGTTGCAAGTGCTGTAAAACTCTTACTCAAACTATTGAAATAAAATGTTGCTATTGTAGTGTTGGCTGGCTGTCACGGCACATATAAATGATGACAGTTGCTCCACTTGTAGTACTTGTACCATACACTGTACCACGCTGTGCCCTTCTGTACCATACCATCCCGTACCATTCCATTCCGTGCTATATCACACGGTACCATGAACGTGACGTGACTATGCTTTTTGTGAAGTGTTCTACGGTCTGCTGGGGTAATGATAATTGCAAAGAAGAGCATAGAACATGCTGTAAAGCATGGATTATAAATCAATGCAATTTATTATTATTTATTGCCATTATCAAGGCAATGTGTATGGCACGGGTTTGAAAGAAAAATCTTTCACTTTTTCCTTAGTAAGTTATAATGTCTGTGTGTGTAACTTTGTAACATGCATCTTTCAAGCTACCAGGGTGCTCATCTGGCAAACTTGTCGATATAGACACTGGTTTATTTCACTGGGGGTATAGCACAGACAGCAAACTGTTGAAGTTTGATTTTATGTCCTCGTCTGCCAGCCAGAAATGACCATGTCACAGTATGCCCGAGCTGGTCAAAATGCTAGAAATCACAATACGGCTCAGAGGCATTCATAGGACATTCCAGTTCATATATAATCATATAATAACAAATCACCAAGCAGTTTGGCCACAATCACAATCCCAGATGTGTGTTGGTGTTTTTTGGTGTTTAAATAAAAAAAAAATATACATACATACACCATGCAACAAAATTTATCCATTTTTATATTATCACCAGAGTGGGTGATTGGAGGGTGCCACTGGTAGGTCCATCTTTTCTTTCAATCTGTTTTTGTTGTTGTTTTTTTCTGTCTGTTCTTGCTTTTTCCCTGCATTAAATGTCCATTATCGTGTCAAAGTGCATTTCTTTACTCACACGAAACCTGAGCTCTTAGCCGACAGTGCTTTTAGTTTACTTTACACTTCAGATCCAGCTACCGTCTGAGTTCTTACTCTTTGGTCTGATTAGCCGACGGTGTATTCTGGAGTTTTAAGTTTTTAACGTTAAAATTACTGGCTGGTTGTACCAAGATGAATGGCAAGAGTATATATCGATATTATTGTCTGCTTTTTTTCCCCCATACACTGGGACTGACATTTGTGTCTTGCATTGTTCCTCAGGTTATGCAGTCAGAGCGGATGTTGTACTTAGTGACGGAGTATGCCAGTGGTGGGGAGATCTTTGGTGAGCTCTTGTTATGTGTTATGTAGCAGCTTGAGTGAGAGAATGAGTGAGTGAATATATGAATATGAGTGAGTGAATCAATGAAATAAATACTAAATAAGAGTAATTTAATTCTTTAGTGAATTTTTAACGTGGGAATAACGAAGGAGTGAATGAGTCAATAAGTGTGAGAGAGAATAAGAGTAAGGTCGATTAATTGGGTGAGTTACTAAATTAGTAAAAACAAAAAAACAAAACAAAAAACCTTTAAGAGATGATTGATGAATATTAGTTAAGAAGAGAATGAATCAATGAGAGAAAGTAAATGCCAGAGGAAAGAAATGAGTGACTTGTTAATGAATGAATGTGTGGCTTGTTGGCAGACGCTTTGATGTGGTTCAGCTCGCTCATTGATTCCCTTTAAACTATTTCAGTCCTTATGATGCCGTATCTGAGTTATCTCTGCTCTTTTTCCCTTTCTTCGTTGTATTTTACTCTCTAGTAACACCTCTAATATTTAGCACTTCTGTGATCTAATTGTGTTGCAAGTGCTGTAAGACTTAATAAGACCAAACTTATTTGTTGAGTCAGATAGTTTATCATGTAAAAATCTTGGCAGACTTCATGGCTGAGGGCCTTAATCATTGTCACCTGAATTGAGATGGAAGCATGTTAAGGAGGATGGTTAGGCTCTTCACATTGCTGGCAAAAGAGATGAGTTCGATTCCCACATGAGGAAGATATTTTAAGAAGTATAATTATCCCTTCTGTCAGGATTTGGCAAGTTCAATCTTGATTGACTTTAGTGGGCAGGCCCAAAGCTGCCTGTCTTTTGAATGATATAAACTGTAATAACAAGGCTTTAAATTTTTACCCAAAAGCTGCAACAAATGAAATACAAATTGTAACAAATGCACTTTCTAGGCCAATGTGCACATGGAAATGCAGTCCTACTAAGTACTCCTATAAAATCAGAGCTCCCCAGTATTCTTTTGCCCGTGGAAGACCCCTGATCGGATTTGCATAAAATCCAATTTTTTTTCTTCTTAACTTTCCTTTGTCAAATCGTGTTGG